CTTACAGCGTCTTTATCTTTACAGCATCCTCTTCTTCTCTCTAACAGAATCCTCATCCTCTCTCTAGCGTATCCGCATCCATACAGCATCCTCATCCTTACACCATCCTCATCTTTACAGCATCCTTATTCTTACAGCGTCTTTATCTTTACAGCATCCTCTTCTTCTCTCTAACAGAATCCTCATCCTCTCTCTAGCCGTATCCGCATCTATACAGCATCCTCATCCTTACAGCATCATCATCCTTACATCATCCTTATTCGTACAGCATCCGTATTCTTACAGCGTCTTTATCTTGACAGCATTCTCATCCTCTCTCTAGCCGTATCCTCATCCATACAGCATCCTTATTCTTACTATACAGCGTCTTTATCCTTACAGCATTCGCATCCTTCCTTAGCGCATCTTCGTGCTTTACAGCTCTATTCCCATCCTCCCACTCACACCATCGTCACGTCACACCAACCTATAAGAAACCTGACCACCAGCTCTGCTCGCCTCTCCGCCGCACACTCAGTGTGACATCATCAGCTACGTCATCTGCTGACGTAGGCGCGCGTCGAAATCGCGTGCAGACCCATCGGCGTGGACAGGGTGAGTCTTACTGCCAACTACGATCTTCCCAGTCGATAGATCAGCATCTTCTAACGTCACTGTGATAGCTTGACGAATTAGAGGCGCGTCATCATCCTCCGCCGCCGGTGCTTCAGAGAGCAGGAAGGAAGGAGCGGGTTGCCATCACCTCTAGTAGATAGACACGTAAGTGACTAGACAGTAGACATGTGAGTAGATATACGGAAGTAGCTAGATATGTGAATAGCAATAGATATGTGAAGAGCCATAAAGGTGAGTAGCTAGACACGTACGTAAATAGATGAGAGAGTACCTAGAGGCGAAGGCTGTGGGTGCTGTGTGGGCTTTGACAACGTGGGTGTCGCATGCACCGTACTGTGACAGCGCTGGTGTCGCGCGGGTGTCGCACGGACCGTGCTGTGACAGCGCTGGTGTCGCGTGGGTGTCGCACGGACCGTGCTGTGACAGCGCTGGTGTCGCGTGGGTGTCGCGCGGGTGTCGCACGGTCCGTACTGTGACAGCGTTTGTGTCGCGTGGGTGTCGCACGGACCGTGCTGTAACAGCACTGGTGTCACACGGGTGTCGCACGGGCCGTGCTGTCAGACGCAATTGGCGACTCTTGTCATCTTGGGTAAAGTCATTTGAAGTTCGTTCTCCATCTGTTGCTCGTGGCGGGTGTGTTTTGGGGATCAATTCGCTGTTGAAAAGTGTTGGTCCATGTGTATGTCGAACGTAACTGAAGGGTAAATTGTATCATACGTGTGTGTATTGCCTACTTGAATGTGTTGTGCGTGCGCGCGTGTGTGTATTGCTTACTTGAATGTGTTGTGCGTGCGCGTGTGTGCGTATTGCTTACTTCAATGTGTTGTGCGCGCGCATCTGCGTGGGTGCAAGTGGGAGTCATGACATTTTCTTCACGATCACACACGAATCTCTCAGTCGCCTCGCGTTACACATGTGTCGGTGTCAATCAGAGGAGAGACAGCTCATGCATATTCACAGTCGCAACGCGTATCTTTAGAATTATGCACTCATAAATGTGTATAGAAGTGAGTGCGTTATACGCACCGTACAGTCCGCTATGTAGCCGACGCCTACACCACCCCCGGTGTGTTCCTAGACATGTGTTTGTACGTAGCTATAGGATGTGAGCAGCGTTGTCATTGCAAAAGAACCGCACAGCACCGAAACCCGCGTACAATATAATATCAAGTAAATTATTAACATCGCGCCTTTGATTCTCAGTATTCATCTGAATAATCTGATGATTAAATTTTCATTTTCATAGAGATTTCCGTTTCAATTTTACATCAAATATTAACTTTTAATATAATTGCAATTAATTTCATTTGACATTCTCAGGTCGACAGTCTTGTGTATATATAATTCTTTCCATACGTTCTGTGTGCATCAGGAGTAGATAATAGGGAATCTAATAATTTCCTATTATCTACTCCTGATATTATATTATACCAGCGTATGCATGCAAGCACCGGGTTACGACAGCTTACTATGTTATGCTTGAAGCTTCCACTGCCTCTGTGCGTTTTTCACCAAGCAGTCGCCCGCCACATTCACCCGGTGCAGGTAAAAGCAAGCGCAAGCTAGATTGCTACATGTATTATTCACCATAGCTATGGCCATGCAGGAAGCCGCCAGGCAACCAAGCACACTGCAGCGCACGTGATCGTGCAATTTCGCGAGGTTTTCGCCGCTGGCTACAGTGTATATACTCGCTCGGAGCGGAAGTTTGGGTGAAATATATTGCCGACAAGCGCGCGGTGTGATGTTATGAGCATCTGTTTACTAGAGCGGCTAAATATAGCAACACGAACAGCGTGTTGTGGCGGAGGCAGACGCTTTTTCACCGGCAATTCTCCATGTAATTGTTAAAAGTTTCATTTCTACGGGACGCGCCTCCCTTCCGGAGAGGGAAGTTCACAACCTCCTGAAAACAGCCCTGGAAACATCCTGATCGAGTGTATACACACAATACCCACTATTTAGATACCGTTGCTTACGAGATAAATTCAATAGGGGACGCGTGACAACAACCATGGATAGTTGCGACGCGGCATATGTGAAATTCAAACATGCTATACTGTAAACGTAAACGTAAATTCAAATTTAACTGTAAACATAGAATAGAAATATAAACAAGAGTAAATAATAGACTATTAATTCAATCATAATGTAAAAATGTAATTGTAAATGTAAATTTTAAAGTAAATGTAAAAGTAAATGTGAATGGAAAAGTAAACGTAATAGTAAAAAAGTAAAACTAAAAGTAAAATAAAAAGTAAAACTAAAAGTAAATTTATATGTAAAAGTAAATATAAAACTAAATATTAATGTAAATGCAAAAAAATAAAAATAAACTACTAATCAAAATGGCGGCATCTTTTTCTTCCTCGCAGGTGTTCCGCTGACTGTCGTCGCCCGGGAGCCTGCCATCGCCATGACAGGCATCTTCGACATTCAACAGGTGATGCCCTACCTGTACCTGAGCGCAGCGACGCCCGTCACCGCCGCCAACATAGATCGTCTGCGAATCGCACTAGTAATCAACGCGTCACGTGACCTCCAAGCTCCCGACCACCCGACTGTCGGCTACCTACAGGTATATAACGGACACGGCCAGAAATAAACGCATAAATGAACGTCTATCGTCTAAATATCTAAGTATATTACCTAAGCACCGATCAGATGATATTATTTCCATGCGCACAGACGTCCGTAGACACAAGCTCTATAAACATCCACGGAAAGGTGTCGCGTTCATTTTGCTCGGGCAGCATCGCGTGCGCAACATAGAACGCGAACGTGTTTTGTATTAGAAGTTCTCTTGCTCAGAACACTACAGTCTACCACTACTTACCATACAAATCGTGAACCGCCTGCATTGCTTTACGCGCGCGGCTTCACTTCAAAATTGTGTACGTTTTACGTATCGAGCAGCGAATGATTGACAGGGACCCTAAGAAATACTATGTCTACTAATGTCTATACTATCAAGAGCGTATAAAGAAGGGCCTTAGTAGACCCTAGACCTTAGAAGGTAGATAGGCCTATAGTATAAGGCCTCCTACAGAAGTCTCGCTTTACAACACGCTTTTTTCTGTGCGTGCGTGTGCGCTAATGCAGTACGATTCGCGTGTACGTATATATTGCTATAGTATACCGCTTATCATAATTAGCTAAAGAACTTACAAACTGCACGTAAAAAGCGGAAAAAATGCATTGGTTGCGTGCCCACGCGTCGTCGGTCGCCATGGTAACGCTACGAAACATGGCGCAATGCTCTCGTTCGGCAGGTTAAGGTGGACGACCTTCCGTATGAGCGCATCGACGAATTCTTCGACATGGTCGCCATGCGCATTGAGACCACCAGACGACAGGGCGGCAAGGCCCTCGTGCACTGCCGCGCCGGTAGGTGGCCGACAGAGACAAGTGCACATCGGTTCCTCCCGCTATTTTCGCATGGGCTTGCCGTCTATAGAATCGCTCTAGTGGAAAATCTATTATTTAATCTATTATTTAATCGCAGTGCACTCGGTGATAACCGTGGCGCGGGATCTGATTCGCTCCACTATAATTGATGTGATCAGACTATATACTGTCCGAAAGTATTACAGGCTTAAGTGACTGCACTAAGATTAGGGCTTGCCTAGCGATCGCTTTCCTTGTGGCACGACGTTTTGATGTCGGCTCACGTGTAGTATGGATCAGTCAGATGACAAGACATTGTAATGTGTTGCGACGTTTGCCGCCAGACGGGGACGCGCATTGTACGCACTTAATTGAGACATATAAATATCAGAGGGATACGAACTGTCCTCCTGGTTCAGCATCCCTAAATAAATCAGGAGGCACGCACGCACGCACGCACGCACGCACGCCGCAACGCCACACACAGACAACAGACGACACACACAATACATACACACACACACACACACACCACACACACACACACACAACACACACACACACACACACACACACATACAAACGCATGCGCACAAGCACGCATGCATACTATCGTCACACGAACTAGAAAACGAATACTAATCAATCAATCTGAGTGATTTCTTACCCGCGGCGACTTGAGTGATATATGATACCTAATCACAGAAATGGCTGGCGTCCCTGAACTTTCTGTAAACCGCGATAACTTAAAAATAATTCAGTTACTGCTACAGCAGAATTCAAAGAAAATATTTCAAGAAAGAATTAAGCTCTAACGGTAGTAGCTCCTGTACTATATATACTGTAGAGACACTAATAGACAGTAGTAATTAACACGAACGTTAACTAACCGGGTGATGATCTCAACGATTCTTTGAAAATGTTAGCACCGGCCCGTGTTATAGCACATAGCACCCGCAATGTTAGCGTCGGCACCAATCAACGTGCGAATCACACGCAAAAATAAAGCGTCTGCCCCGTTACTATGCCGACTAGTGAGTCACGCAGCAGGAAGCTATATAGTGTAGTCCTTACATACCTTGAACTAACTTTAAAAAAATTTAATTCGAGAACCGGATTATGAACGCAACGCGGTGCGCGCATATAACATAGTTTCACACCATCGACTTATAATACTTCTACACTAACGATAGTCTGGCCACAGCACATTTACTGCTCACCTGGATCCAAAGACTGCCAATTACAAGGACGCTTCTACCGCTAATCACATGAAGGCGGTACCTTCTGCTGTCTAGACGAGTCTTGTCTTCTTAGTAATGCTGAAGGGTCGCTTGTACGTATATGTACCCTCGAGTATAGTACCCGAGGTGTTCGGCGAGGTATGTCGCTACTGCCTACTCCCCTAACCCTAACCGCTAACGGCCTAATAACCGCTAACGACCTAACACCCTAACCTAAACCATAAACCATTAATCAAATAGTTTACCTCGGGGTGACATATTTTTATAAAAACGCCATTATACGACAACGATCCGGCTTCGTGCCTTAGTAATAATATAGACTGCACTTACACGCGGCAGCTATACATAGGCAATACTCATATACCTACTCTATCTAATACTGATAAGAATCAGGAGTAAATATACAAGTGTGATTTAATATTGTTTTTATCCCAGCTCTTATATTTTATGGTTTGTCTTCATGAAATTCCAATAACCATGCTTTAGCAATAGGGCCTACCATATTTCTACTACATGTTTGTTTATAAGATGCCCAATCCTCTTGCCTGCCATACGATGCTATACCGCTATATACTACTAATATGTATAATAATATCAGGAGTGAATAATAATATCAGGAGTGAATCTATTATTATTCACTCCTGATCATATCTATTATTATTCACTCCTGATCATATCTATTATTATTTCACGTCCTGATCAAGTATCTCATTATTATTCACGTCCTGATCATATTATTATATTCACGTCCTGATCAATATCTATTATTTATTCACTCCTGATCATATCTTATTATTATTCACTCCTGATCATATCTAATTTATTAATTCACTCCCTGATGACATAGTCCTATTATTATTGCAACTCCTGATCATATCTATCTATTATACACTCCTGATCATATCTGGATTATTATCAACTCCTGGATCATATCTAAATTTATTTATTCCACGTCCTGATTCATATCTCATTATTATACACTCCTGATCATATCTATTATTATTCATACTCCTAGCATCATATCTATTATTATTCACTCTGATCAATAGTCTATTATTATTCACCCTCCTGAATCATCCCATCTATTATCTAATTACACGTCCTGATCATATCTATTATTCTTCACTCCTGATCATATCTACTTATTGATTCACTGGCCTGTCATATCTACTTATTATTCCTCCTGATCATACTATATTATTATTCACTCCTGATCATATCTATTATTATCCTTCCATGCTATCATATCTATTATTATTCACTCCTGATCTACTCTATTATTATTCACTCCTGAATCATATCTATTATTATTACGATCTTTGTATCATCGATCATATCTATTATTATTCACGTCCTGATGATATCTATTATTATCACGCCTGATCATATCTATTATTTTCACTCCTGATCATTATGCTATTATTATTCACTCCTGATCATATCTATTATTATTCACTCCTGTGCAATATCTATTATTATTCACGTCCTGAAATCATATTCTTTATTATTCCAGCTCGCTGAATCATATCTCATTATTATTGCACTCCTGATCTATCTATTATCATTCAGCTCCCTGATCAATTAAATCTTTTTAATTTATTATCACTCCTGATCATATCTATTATTTATTCACGTCCTGATCATGATTTTATTATTTCACATCCTGATCATATCTATTATTATTCACTCCTGATCATATCTATTATTATACACTCCTGATCATATCTAATTATTATTCACTCCTGATCATATCTATATTTATTCGCACAATCCTGAATCATTGATCCATTATTAATCCAGCATCTTGATCCATATCTATTATTATTCACTCCTGATCATATCTATTATTATTCACTCCTGATCATATCTATTATTATTCACTCCTGATCATATTATTATTATTCACTCCTGATCATAATCTATTATTATTCACTCCTGATCATATCTATTTAATTATTTCACTCCTGATCATAATCTATTATTATTCCACTCCTGATTCATATCTATTATTATCACTCCTGATCTATCATCTAATTTATTATTCACTCCTGATCATACTATTATTATTCACTCCTGATCATATCTCATTATTATTCACGTCCTGATCATGATCTATTATTATTCACTCCTGATCATGATCTAAATTAATTATTCACGCTCCTGATCATATCTATATTATTCACTCCTGACATATCTATTATTATTCACCTCCTGATCACATATCTATTATTATTCCACTCCTGATCATATCTATTATTATTCACTCTGATCAAATCTATTATTATTCATATCCTGATCAATATCTATTATTATTACTCCTGATCCATCATCTATTATTATTCACTCCCTGATCATATCTATTATTATTCACTCCTGCATATCTATTATTATTCACTCCTGATCATATCTATTATTAATTCACTCTGATCATATCTATTATTATTCACGTCCTGATCATATCTTATTATTATTCAACTCCTGATCATACTTATATTATTCACTCCTGATCATATCTATTATTATTCACCACTCCTGATCATACTCTATTATTATTCAGCTCCTGATCATATCTATTAATTATTCACTATCCTTGATCATATCTAATTATTATTACACTCCTGATCATATCTATTATTATTCACTCCTGATGCATATCTATTATGTATTCACTCCTGATCATATCTGATTTTATTCACTCCTGACTGATCATGATCTATTATTATTCACATCCTGATCAATATCTATTATTTTTCCACTCCGTGATCATGTCTATTATTATTCACGATCCTGATCCATATCTATTATTATTCACTCCTGCACTCATATCCTATTATTATTTCACTCCCTGATCATATCTATTATGTATTCACTCCTGATCATATCTTATTATTATTCACTCCTGAATCATATCTATTATTATTCACATCTGATCATATCTAGTTATTATTTCACTCCTGATAAAATATCTATTATATTCATCCTGATCATATCTATTATTATTCTGCCGCCTGATCATATCTATGTTATTATCACCCTGGATCATATCTATTATTATTCACTCCTGATCATGATCTTATTATTATTCACATCCTGATTCAATGATCTATTATTAATTCACTCCTGAGTCCATATCTAGTTATTATTCCAACTCCTGATTCATATCTATTATTATTCACATCCTGATCATATCTATTAATTATTCACTCCTGATCATATCCTATTATTATTGCACTCCTGATCATAATCTATTATTATTTCACTCCTGATCATATCTTATTTGATTATTCACTCCTGATCAATGATCTTATTATTATTCACTCCTGATCATATCTATTAATTATTCACTCCTGATCATATCTGATTATTATTCACTTCCTGATCATATCTATTATTATTCACTCCCTGATCATATCTATTATTATTCACATCCTGATCCATATCTCCGTTATTATTCACGATCTTGATCATATCTATTATTATTCACGTCCTGATGCATATCTAATTATTATTCACTCCTGATCATCTCTAATATTATTCACTCCCTGATCATGATCTATTATTATTCACTAGTCCTCGATCCCCCTATCTATTATTTATTCACATCCCTGATCATCATCTATTATTATTCAACTCCTGAATATATCTATTATTATACACTCCTGATCATATCTATTATTATTCACTCCTGATCATATCTATATTATTCACTCCTGATCATGATCTATTTATTTATTCACTCCTGATCATATCTATTATTATTCACTCCCTGACATATCTATATTATTCACGTCCTGATCAATATCTATTATTATTCCTCCTGTCATGATCTATTTATTATTCACGTCCTGATCAGCTATTCTATTATTATTCAACTCCTGATCATATCTATTATTATTCACTGTCCGAATCATATCTATTATTATTCACGATGCTGATATACTATTATTATTCACTCCTGATCATGATCTATATTATTCACGTCCTGAATTCATATCTATTAATTGATTCACGGGTCCTGATCATCTCTATTATTATACGACCTGTGCTGATTCATATCTATTGAATTATTTCACTCCTGATCATATCTATTATTTATTCCTCTGATCATATCTATTATATTCACATCCTGATCATATCTATTATTATTACCCACTCCTGAATCATATTCTTATTATTATTTCACTCCTGATCATATCCTATTATTCATTCACTCTGAATCATATCTATTCATTATTCACTCCTGGATCATATCTATTATTATTCACTCCTGATCATATCTATTTTATTCACTCCTGATCATATCTATTTTATTCACCTCCTGATCAATCTCATTATTATTGCACTCCTGATCATACTTATTATTTATTCACTCCTGATCATTATCTATTATTATTCACTCCTGATCATTATCTATTATTACTTCACTCCTGATCATGATCTAAATTATATTCACTCCCTGATCATATCTATTAGTATTCACTCCTGAATCATATCTATTATTATTCACTCCTGATCATAATCTATTATTATTCACTCTCGATCATATCTATTATTATCACCTCCTGATCATAGTCTTATTATTATTCACTCCTGATCAAATATCTATTTATTATCAGCTCTTGATCATATCTATTTATTATTCACATCCTGATCATATCTAATTATTATTCATCCTATCAATATCTATTATTATTCCGTCCTGATCATATCTATTATTATTCACTCCTGAATCATATCTAAATTATTATTCCACTCCCTGATTCATATCTATTATTGATTCACGTGTGTATGTGTCTCCTGATCATATCTATTATTCATTCAACTCCTGATCATATCTATTTATTTTCACTCCTGATCAGTATCTATTATTATTCACTCGCCATCATATCTATTATTATTCACTCCTCCTGATCATATCTATTATTTTCACTCCTGATATATCTATTATTATTCACTCCTGCATCATATAATCTATTATTCATTCATTTCCTGATCAGTATCTTATTATTATGACACTCTCCTGATCATATCTATTATTATTCACTCCTGATCATATCTATTATTAATTCACTCCTGATCATATCTATTATTATTCCTCCTGATGCAATCATTATTCCTCCTAATATATTATTATACTTCACTCCTGATCATAGCTATTATTATCTCACTCCTGATCATATCTATTATTTATTCACTCCTGTCATATCTATTATTATTCACTCCTGATCGATTATCTATTATTAATTCACTCCTGATCATATCTATTATGTATTCACTCCTGTCATATCTATTATTATGCTCACTCCTGACATATCTATTATTATTCACTCGGCTGCATCCATATCCTGATTCTTATGTTTCATCGCTGACAATCTCTATCATCTGATCCATCATCCTATTATTATTCCACTCCTGATCATATCTAATCCTTTCATATCACGTCCTGCTCCAATCATCCATTATTATTTCACTCCTGATCATATCTATTATTATTCACTCCTGATCATATCTATTATTATTCACTGCCTGATCATATCTATATTATTACTCTGATTCACTTTTTCACAGTCTGATCAACATATCTATTATTTATCCTCCTGATCATACTATTATTATTTTCACTCCTGATTCTATGCTATTATATTCAGTCCTATCATCCTATTATTATTCACTCCTGATCATATCGATTATTATTCGACTCCTGATCATATCTATTATTATTCACTCCCTGATCATATCTATTATTATTCACACTGCACTTATTCCTTGATCATATTATTATTATTCACGTCCTGATCATATCTAATTATTATTCACCCATGATTCATATCTATTATTATTCACTCCTGAATCCTATCTATTCATTATCTCACTCCTGGAACTCATATCTATTATTATTCACTTCTGCATCATATCTATTATGTATTTTCAGCTCCTGATCAATATCTAATTATTATTCACCTCCTGATCAGTATCTATTATTATTACACATCCGATCAATATCTATTATTATTCACTCCTGATCAAATCTATTATTATTCCGGTCCTGATCAATAATCTCCTTATTATTTCACGTCACTGATCATATCTATATATATTCACATCCTGATCATATCCTATTATTATTCACGTGTCCTGATCATATCTATTATTATTCACTCCTGATCATATCTATTATTATTCACTCCTGATCATATCTATTATTATTCACTCCTGATCATATCTATTATTATTCACTCCTGATCATATCTATTATTATTCACTCCTGATCATATATATTATTATACACTCCTGATGAGATTTTTGTCTTCGCATCGTTGTAGGTGTTAGTCGCTCGGCGTCGTTAGTGATAGCACACCTGATGAAGTACGAAGGCATGACTCTCAGCAAGGCCTACAACCACGTACGTTAATTACTACTATATCCACGTATAGTTACAACTATATCTACGTATAGTTACAACTATATCTACGTATAGTTACAACTATCCACACCAAGAGTAGATAGAAACAAGGCCTACAACCACGTACGTTACAACTATCTACGTATCCACACCCAGAGTAGATATCAACAAATCCTTATGATAAACGCTCTATCCATACTTATATGTCGCCATCTTAATCGCCACTCGCACTATCGTCAATATAAGTAGTCGATAGAAGTATGATAGAAGTATGGTAGCTAAAGCTAGTTGGAGGTGAATCTAGGCGTCTGCATGAAGACGTAGGAACTGCAGCCCGCATCGTCAGGACCTGCCTCTGTATAAGGTAGCGCACAAGTGCAGATGTAGACCAGCATAGGCGAGCTTAAATTGACTACGTCACGAATTTTTTATGGTAAAGTGTGTAACATTTTTGTTGCCATTTTTTTACATTAAAAGTAAGAACTAACGGGACTAAACGTATCGTCAAAAAAACCTAGTTAAAAATCCAAAAAACGTGGACGATTTGATATTGTGTTCCTGACATTAATTGAATTGCTATGGGCTATGTATGAGTCACGAGTGTATGTTCACATCAAACAATATAGTAAAATAGGAAGTATAATGCAGCAATTTAACCATAAAAAGTGAACAGAATTACTTATATTTTGTAAAAAAGTGGAAATATTTTTTTACTATTTACGGTGACGTAATTACTTTAAGTCTACTTGGAGCTAGTATATTAGTTAAAACGTTAGACCTTGGAGTAATCATTCTCACAGAATTTGGAGTAATCATCAGTCAGAATGATTACTCCAAGCGTAGAAGTAGCGCACATGTGTATAGCTTTGTATTGTACTGTATATCAGTCAGAAATTTTATCATTTTAACTAATCAACACTATTGCTTTTATCAGATTTTTTCTCCATAAAAAAACTGTTGTCAGTACATGTATATGTATTTGAATTACATGCAATAAAGATTTAATAATAATAAAATAATTATACGTCCGCTGCGAAGGTCGCGAGAAAAAATACGCGCCAGAATTTTTCACTGATTGTGTGTTTTTTTCTCGCGTCTGCGTCGTCACGTGATGCAGGTGAAGGATCGCAGACGATGGGTGGCGCCGAACGAGGGATTCTGGAAACAGCTGATCCAGTACGAGCGCAAGCTGTACGGCAGAACGTCGGTGAACAGCGGTGATGACGACGCTGCCGCCACACCCGACTACTGCTTCGGCAGGTAGGTATACAAACGACAGCAGCATCGCCGAGACGTTATAATTAAATTGACTACGTCACGAATTTTCTATAGTAAAAATTGTAAAATTTTTGTTGCCATTTTTTACATTAAATGTAAGAACTATCGGGATTATCGGGACTAACGGGACTAGCGGGACTAACGGGAATAAACGTATCATCAAATTCTTACTTGATAAGATTGTTTCTCAACTAGTTAAAAATCCAAAAAACCAGGACGATTTGATATATATTATGTTCCTGACAGTAATTGCTTGCTATGGGCTATGTATGAGTCACGAGGGTATGTTCACATAGAACAATATAGTAAAATAGGAAGTATAATGCAGCAATTTAACCAAAAGTGAACAGAATTACTTATATTTTGTGAAAAAGTGGAAATATTTTTTTTATTTTTACTATTTACGGTGACGTAATCACTTTAACCCTTTACCGGCTAATATAACATCCCTGTTAACACATAACGTTCTCGCCACGTTAGGATTTGGTTGCGCTATGGTTTGGTTTTAAAAAAACGTTTCACGTTTTCACACATCTATCATAATCTATTCTTATTCACTCCTTATAATATATAAGGTATAGAATATGTAATTAATAATAATTATATATAAGTAGTATATATAATTATAATAAGATAGTAATTAAGGTTATATACGGTTATGGCACGTACCATATAATGTAGTATCATATGTATTATAAAACGTAACATAACGTGCAACACAGTGCGAGCAACATAAACCTTGTAGTTTTATGATCTCCGGAGAGAATTATAATGTGTATAGGGGAGGCGGGAGGTTGGAACAGAACGTATGCAGCTCGGTAGAACGGCAGTAAACATGCAGCAGCACAGATGACGAGGTTAATCGCCACACCAGACTATACTGTCCTGGCAGATGGATGTGTACGAGAGAAACAGCACATATATTCATTCTAAATAAGATTTTAATTAATTCTCTTCCTAAGGCGCTATTAACACCATCATCGACACGTAACACCTCGGCCGATTCCATGCATACTTAGGTGCGGAATTTAATAAGGTGTTCCGACTGACATAACATAATATCAGGAGTAGATAATAGGGAACTACTAGGGGTCTACTCCTGATAATATGCAGTGACAATAACCAATAAGCTAACATGTAGTAGTTCCAGAGCACGTATATCATATCGTATATCATAATATCAGAAGTAGATAATATGATATACGTGCTCTGCATGGTAGTTCTATGGTCTCTGGGAAACCTGGTGGTGGGTGGAGGCGATAGACGTACAGGCGGGTGAGAAGACAGCAGGAGAAAAGATTAATTATTAGGTGGGAATAGAAAGGGGAGGGTAGGAAGCAGGAGAGGGGGATGGGTTATTAAGTGAGAATCGGATGGGGCGAGTAGGAAGCGGAGAGATGATAAATGTATTATGTGCGAAGAGAAAGGGCGAGTGGGAAGCAGGAGAGGGGCTGAGTTAAGGAAGTATAATAGGGTTAAGTGGAAAGCAGGAAGGGCAGGTGAAAGTAAAGAAGGTAATGGGAGGGACAAGCCACGGGCAAGTTGGCATGAAAACACGAGAGAAACTGGGAGGAGTGAGTATATCACACTGCACCAAGACAAGATAAGGAAATCTGAAAGACAATGGTAAGCACCGAAAGAGAGTAATAACTAAAGTTTAACCATTTTAGGTACCACACGGTGGCGCCACCTTCCGAGAGCCCGCACCGTTCTAGCATCAACAGGAGTACATCGCCCACGTGCATGCTGAGCAGAGAAGCACCGGTCCTCGCTGCCTACAGAAGCAGCCCTAGTATACCCTACAGCTCCTACAATAGAGACCTTTCACCAATCCGCACGGGTAGACGAATGTATATGCGATATTAACAGCTAGACCAAGAGATATGCGAGTAGCCGTTCGTTATATAAATATATCGTTTGTTCATCAATCGACTATTCATAGGCATGAATGGGTGATGCTATGCGTGTTTATAGTCATTGGTATGCTATGATTGACAGCTGCCCGTTCATATAGAGTGAATTGGAACCTATAACATGTTTTAAGGATACATGCAGCCTTTCGGTTTAGCAACAATACGTCAAGAACAGACGCATGCACGCATGCACGTTTGTACACGCACGCATGCACGTTTGTACACGCACGCATGCATATACACGCGCACACGTGTATACCACAATATGGAAAATAACGCAGTGAACAGCAAAAAACGGCTAAAAGTGTTAGCAAAGAAACACAGATTCACTATGATATAGTATCCCTTTATTATTCGCAATTCATCAACGAGGTACTTAACCACCTTGATGTGTCTGCCGATTAGATACAATACGCGTATGGAGCGAATCCACAAGCCACTAGAGATCCTTATAATGTATCTGTCGCATCAGAGTTATTTAGAGCGAGCGAGTGTCCGAGTAATGACATTTTAGAAACTCAGGGCGAAATGTCACGACAATACATGGTGACATTAATATCTACCACATCCATTAGTAAATAACAGGTGTTTTCATTCAGGTGTGCAGATATTCTTACATCTCTCTATATAACATAGGGCAACGTGCAAATGTGTAACCAAGGATAACAGCTAGCATTTAGGCGTGATGAGGTTGCTAAGAAATGGTTGGTTGTACTGCAGTCACCCATACAAATAATAGTCGTCCATTATGATTCATGTTGATACATTTCCCATCTATATGTATACAATTTTAATAATATCTTCATAATTATTGTATATATAATATATACGTATATACATATATAATGTATGTTTGAATGAAATATTGTTTATACGTTACTGTAACAGGATTTTTTTTTTCACTCTTGATGTATGATAATTAATCAATTATTTAAAAAAAATGTACCTAAGGACTCATACCAGAATAAAGGGCACAAAAATACAGTATTTCGTAATACGCAACTGTTCGATTAGTTTATTTGCCGATAATACGGAAAAGATTGACTATTACATGAGCTCTGCAATCGCTGGAGCACATACCCCGATCTGCTGGTGCCAAACATTCATCGCCTTTACAGCCACTAGATGGCGCAACGATCTAACGCGCTTGAATAACCGCAATAAATTATATTCGTAACATGCACGGCGATGAGTATCATATTGTGTGAGTATTAATATTTCGTTAAATTATAAAAATATATATAATTTTCGATATTCCGTACATGCTAATAGACAGGCTATCGCTTCTAAGCTTTCTTCTCTGCTAGCAAGTAAAATGCGTGCTGTTTTAGCAGAATCTTTGGTTTGGGGCGTGTACAAAATTCGTCTGTTGTAGAAAAGTTGCTCGAAATAAACCACACATGAGATCATTGGGATGGTATTATCCAGATGTGAAGAAGGGCACAATTGTATTCAATTAAATATTTACTCATATACACGAGTCTTACTATATATTTACTACGTATACTTTATCGTTATATCTGCATATATTAGACTTAATATTTATCCCTGCCACCCAGGCAGGCTACGGACCTGCTTTCTATCATGTACACAACTACGAAATTGTAGCAAAAGCATCTCACTGATGGCCAGACGGTTAGCACTCGAGTAGAACGTATAAGTTGTAAGATCTTTGTCGACGTTTTCAGCCGCGCGTGCTGCATCAATTACCAGTGCTGCATCACCGCGAGGGTACAGATCTTCATCCCTGATACCGTACACGTCGGCTGCAGACACCAGCGACTACTGCATGCACGCGGAGGATGGCCCACCAGAACGCGGAGATGTAACGCGACGGGAATATTCTTAGCTTCGCGGACCAGCGCGGATTTAATCTCTACATGCATGCGCCAGCGCCTCCCAGCATCCGGCGAGGACACTTAACACGCCTCGGTGTTCCACACGAGGAGGACAATAATAGCAGCTTGCAGGCATCGAAGTCACATGTGGTGGGTGGGTGGGTTGAAGACGAGTATACTCAATGGGACGAGAAAAGCCGAGAGATGCCTCGCATTCTAGCGTGCACTGTTTACATGTGAGAGCCCATCCACTCGCCGATACGCCGACATAGGGTAACGCGAGGCACGTATAGTACTTGCTTCATTTACTCATGCACACAGTCATCCACGTTTTTGCCCGTAGCCGTAGGGGCAAAACATCGATGTTTTTAGCAAGGCGAAAACTGCGTTTCAGCTGTGATGATCAGTTGATTGTTAAACGAACGCGCGTTCGTTTGCTCGAAGGCGATACTATATATAAATTCACTATAGTTATTGCGACGGGAGCTAGGGTGGGGTGTTGGGGTGGTCCTTGCTCGCGGTCCGTGGATCTCAATTTCTGTTTGTGTACAAATTCCAGAAAGTTCCGCGCGCCCGGGCGCGAAATTTTTTTTCCCACGAGAGTTCCGGACCCACCACAGATAGTGTTTTGTAATATATGGTGCGTATATAAGACAGACCTGGTTGTATTATAGTTAGTGTTAGGGTTAGGGTTCGGTTTAGGATTAGGGTTAGGGTTAGGGTTAGGTTGTATAAATTTTACATTGTTGCTTCGAGGTAGTCGAGTGAATGGAGTGCGCTGATTGGCTGGGGTCCGGAACTCTCGTGGGAAAAAAAATTTCGCCGCCCGGGCATCTACTCTGACGTCACGCGACAACAGCCAATAGACGTCCGGAAGGCTGTAGAAATAAAACGCGGAAAACGTGCAAAAAAATTTTTTTTTTAATTATATCTAACGTCATATGGCGTTGTAACGTATTATTTGTCTACTTAGCTAGTACTTGGTACTGTTATTACAGCACATACATGCAAATAACACAATAATTAGCTCTGGCGCAAGAGGCGGATCGAGTTTTTTATTAGACTCGTTTATCTATCATATAATAATATTTTCACAGAGGAAAGGTTTTCGGGATTCAAATGGTTTTGAAGACGTTTACTTTTATTGCTGTTTGAGTTTATTTATTGCCGTTTTAAAACAGCAATCCAATGGGCGACGTCACCATAAGCAATAAAGTAGCAGATCTAGTGTGCGCGTTCTTAATGATATTATTATTATTATACCAATTATGTTATATAATTGCAATTAATACGAGTTTGGTGACGTAGGCAGATATTTTTATGAAATACGTAATTCTCTAATCAGAATAGATATGAAGCAGTTTTGAAGACGTGACTGACTAAATCTCCTTGCCGTTACGCTAGCTGGTACAGTTTCTCGCTGTGCAAACGTTACAGCTCGGTTGTGTTTGAACTGTAACGACGCACATGCTTTCTCATTCGTATTTAGTTTGGCATTGCGTGCGTTTCCTCGCGAAAACAAAATCACCGATACGCGTCGCATCACGAATGCCACTAAGCAACGGACGCAGCTATGCATCGCTGATTGGCGCTCGCCCGCGCGACGTCATCGCTGGCGCACCAATCAGGCGTCAACCGCGGCGGGGCAGCCAGAACCGGTGGCGTGTTATATTACGCTTCTCTTCATACGGAGTTGTTATTGCGCCCTCGATGCTCGTGCGCATGCGCGGCTCGTGTCGCTCGTCCATCGGCCTGCACCGAACAAGGAAGTGACCAGTAAACAAACACTTTCTCGAAGCTTCCCGTGCCCTCCCGCCCGCGCGCGCGTAAAAAAACACAGTAGCGCGCAAAATCACTATTATAACGAACCCATCTCCTTCGATCCGGTAAAATTCGGGCGGGAATTCGAATTTCATCTGTCGCGTGCGTGTGCACGAGCGCGCAGCGGGCTACGTTCCAGGTTGCCTCGCCACGAACAGCCTCCTCTCTCTCTCTCTCGCTGTATTTGGGCATCGCGCCGACGTCACCATCTATATACGTCTTCGGCGCAGCGACGCGGCTGCGTATATGCAGACGCCTCCTCGATAGCAGTTCTCCTATATAGTTACCAGACGACTCGTGACCGTGAACGTAGACGCCGCTCCACGGCACACGCTCTGTCTTCCTCACGCACCGTACACCCTCCGTCCGATCTCCTCACACACCGGTAAGTGCAACGAGGACGCCGTAGTTACGCGCGCGCGAGGCAACGCAAGCCTCGGTTTTTTAAAACGCGACCGTAAAAATTGCACCCGTGTATGTGATAGTTGTATTTTTTTAGCGTTCGTGTGCATGTGAATCTGCTGCATGTGCGTATATTGTCGATTGCTTGATTTCGAGGGGGTTTGATCGGCGTTGTGTGAGCATCTAACTATATAAAATGGGCGTAGGATATGCGATCATTCACTGGCATATTCTATATATCTTACTATATATATTATCACGAGAAGAAATCGTACGGAGAAGTAGACGATGGTAACCCACTGCGCAATTATTATGCTATAGCTACTCGTCCTACCTATATTAGTAAAATTAATTAGCTGCGATAATTCATTCCTCTAGTTATCCACTTTAAAACGCAATCACCGGAATAGAGCAGTTACGCGTGCACGTGCGTGCGTGCGTGCGTGCGTGTGTCTGTTTGTTTGTGTGTGTGTGTGTGTGTGTGTGTGTGTGTGTG